TGCCGAAGCTCAGACTCTGGCACAGGATCGGGAACGTTGGAAGCTCTGTCTGACGTGCCTGCCTCCGCGACCCGAAAGGAGAAGCGGCGATGGAAGATGAAGAAGATGAAGGTGGAGGACTACTGACATCCGGAAGAGCCTTGGAATACAGCCTTTGCTTCTCCAGATTGAGAAGTCACAGCTGCAATGGCTTGGGCATGTTTTGCGAATGCCTCCAGAAAGGAAGGCTAAGCAACTGTTCCTTGCAAATCCAACCGGCAAAAGGCCCAGGGAAGGCCAAGATTAACCTGGTGCAAACATATGGAAGGAATCTGTTCCAGACTCGATTTGTCTTTTACTGAAGCTCAGACTCTGGCATAGGATCGGCAACGTTGGAAGCTCCGTCTGACGTGTCTGCCTCCGCGACCCGAAAGGAGAAGCGGCGATGGAAGATGAAGATGAAGATTAATTTCCCAAAAAGCGGTTGAAATGAATTTGGTCTAGTCGTCTTTGTGTCGATTTCTTTACCAACTGTACAGGCTTATATGTCTTTCGGCTATTCAAGATGCCCATCCCTGTTTGCGGAGTTGATTCTCGCCGGAATAATCAACACATCCAGCACAGCCCGGTATGATTCGGTATGATGCATCATTGTCACGATAGACTTTTCTGTGTCGAAGCCAAGGTTGTGTCTGATCGACGATAATCTAGCTGTAAGTAGGTTAGGGCGCTATTTCTAGTTCCATAGAGTTTCATATCTGCGAAAAGTACAGCACAGTCAGAGGACAAGTCAAAGACTATAAAAATGCTGTAAACAACTTCCGGATCCACCTATCGTGGGACTGGACATTGCAACGGCGATGCATTTCACTGAACTGCTTTTGTTGGCAGTTTTACTCATCAAACGCTGGAGAATGCCACTTTAATAGGACTGCGGACTTCAGTTATCAAAAAAAAATGAATAAGTCTCATTAGCGCTTCAAAAACTACCTATTTATATGGGATGCTCGTTGACTCAATTCTTTCAACGGCCATGTAAGAACGTTGACTGTGGGATGGTGCCTCTGTTGCAGAAGACTGACAGGTCAGCGGAAAGCTTATCATAATCTTTCAATGTGCTGTGTGTAATGTATAGAAACTTTAACTGCAGAAACTAAAATTTAATATGTTAGATAATGACTAAGTCCTACAAGACCAGATTTCATGGCCTATTGCACGGTCACTTGTTTCTACTTGTCTACAGAGGCATTTAACCAGGTCACGGTTCCATGGTACTCGAGCAACTGCAGTGTTAGATGCATCTCGTGTTATTTTGCTCACAAAAGTCACCCGCTCGTTACAAATGCTAGTTCACCTTATATGCCACCGCATAAATATCATAATTTGTCCGTCGCCGGAGTACGTCAAATAACAGAACTGTTCAAAGACCAGACTTAGAACACCTTTCAATGTTTATATGCTAGCATATAAGGAGTACCAATAGGTACTGTAGGCTCACAAATGCCATGGAGCTATGGCCTGCTTAAATGGTCCCCACAGCAAGGGCAGTGGAACACGCAAAAAAAATTTGGTCTCGGGAGACTTATGCGCTAGCTGACATATTTCGGTGAACGAACAACGAACATGTTTTGAGCGAACGTTAATGGCATTTCAGAGGTACAGCAATATAACGTTAGGCGTTAGTTTCTTTCGGCAAGCTGAAATCATCCATCAAACGTCATTCGACTAGTTGAATCAAGCCTCCTACCGACAAGTCGTATTCTATTCTCAGCGGGTAGACAGAAGAATGGAAAACACCATGTTCTTTTGGAGAATAAATAATAAGAATAACGGATCCTATTTTTCAAAGCGACCACAAAAATTACCAGGTTCTTTTCCGTCGTAGCTTTGATGTCCCTAGCAAGGGTAAAAAACGCCGCTTCAACGTTATAGTTGGCTTTCGCGCTGGTCTCCATGAACTTAACGCCATATTCGATGGACAGCTAAAAATGATAGCGTAACAAGCTGAATACAGACTACAGACGCTTCCGGTAACATCTACCTGCGTGCCTCGCTCCTTTGATACCTGTCGCCGGTCCTCCATGTCGCTCTTGTTGCCAAGTATCATTTTTTCGACGTCGCTGCACGCGTGCTCCTCAATGTTGCGTATCCAGTTTTTGATGTTGTCAAAAGACTTCTCGTTTGTTATGTCGTACACCAACAGAATACCCTAAATACTATAGGAACATGCGCCCCGCAAGTCGCCATTGGTCATCAGTTTTTACCATTGCTCCTCTATAGTAAGCCGTCGTGATGGTTCGAAATCGCTCCTGTCCAGCAGTGTCCCTGAAAAATTACCAATTTGACAAACATTCAACAACTGTCCCCGTGCAAACAATATAAAACTGATCCAATATCCAAACACAATATCCACTCTTTCTGAAACAAGAAGGCTGTCAGCAAGCATCGGATACGATACAAACAAATGGTGGTCCGTTTAGCTCCAGGTATACTTTTATGTTTAACCCCATGAACCAGTTGCTGCCATAAACTGAACGGCAAAATGGCGTCTGGCAATCGATGAATGCATAGATGGATAAGTTAATTTACTAGTTAATGACTAATGATTAAACGAGTAAGCAAATGAATCGATGACAAAATCAATGAACGTGTGTAGGAATCAGCTAATGATTGAAAAAAATGAAAGATTGAAGGATAAAATGGATGAGCGAATGAATCAACATAAATGAAGTAAACGGTGGTGCCTAAAAACTATTCTTTAGTAATTATCGCAAGGAGCGGAACAAAGATCAGAGTAATGGATTGTCCGGTGTAACGAAATGCCCTAGAGGCTGTTTCCATTTAGTCGCTAGGGTACCCGTGAACACCAACCAGGAATCCTGCAAAGGTAGGCGAAAGGAACTGCAGTGAATCATTTAAAAGCATTAAGAGTGGCCAGAATCGCCCAGTGGTTGGGAAGCGCCGTCACTCTCCAGCCG